ACCTTTAATCCTCTCATATATCTATAATAATAACAATAATTTCCGGACAATATAAAGAGCCCAAATAACCAAAGTATCTTAGACTGAATAGAAAATAAAACAATTTAAACAAATATGAGCATATTTTTAAAGAAAAAAAAATTAGGTTAAAGATGAACTTTGTGATGTAGGCAACAACGGGTGGAGCTTCTAACCCGCCAACCCGTCCATGAGTACCCTCCTCCGGAAACAAGTATATCTCGTGGTGAGATTCACAAGACCTGCAAAAACACGAGAGAGAAAAATAAAAAATAAAAAATAAAAGACAAGAAAACAACGACGACAAGATGAACAAGTGAAGCAGAAGGTGAGAAGTGAGAGGAAAAGCCTCAACTCTCTCTCTCTGTTCATCTTCTGCTTTTTATGTGTCTCCACTGTGCTCCTTGCTCAAATCAACAGGCTCACAAACAAGTGAACTCCTCTCACAAAAGCAAAGAATATTGCTCCAAAAAATTAAACATCTCCTTCTTATTCAACAACTAAAGCAGGAAGAAGAGCAAGAAGAAGAAGAAGACATGGGTATTCTACATGATGATGTAGTGATCATAACGCAGGCAGAGAAAGAGGGAGACCCAAGTGTGATTACAATAAATTGTCCTGACAAGACTGGCTTGGGTTGTGACTTGTGCCGCATCATTCTCTTTTTTGGTCTTAGCATTGTCAGAGGAGGTCAGCTAAAATGGGATGTTACTGCTTTTGCATGCTTATTACAATTAATTCATCTTCTGTTTTGTGCTGAGAATATGCAGAGAGAGAAAGGATGAGAAATTTGAATGCTTTGGTTGGGCTAAAAGTTTCAATTTTTGTGTCTTTTTCCTTTCCTCTGCTTTCCTCAGCAACCAAACCGTTTTGATTAGGCTCTTTCTCAAATTTATTTTAAATTTATTTAGATTTTCTTAAAACCAAGTGTTGGGTTTGTGAGAATTGCCTTATATTTTGCTAAACCAGACATGAGTAAATGAGATTTTCCAGTGAATTTGTGAAACAAATTACGGGTGTTTTGGGTTTTGATAAGATTTTTTGAACCCAACAGAAAAATGGGTACTTGAAGCTGAAAGTGTTTGCTTTTTTGATCTGTTTGTGTTTTGAAGATGTATCAACGGATGGGAAATGGTGCTACATAGTGTTTTGGGTTATTGGGAGTCCAGAGACAAGATGGGGTCTGTTGAAGAAGAGGCTAGTGGGGACCTGTCCTTCTTGTTCCTCAGCTTCTGGGATTTCTTTTTACCGGTCTGAATTGCAGCCACCAAAGCCTCCTGATGTGTTCCTTCTCAAGTTCTGTTGTTATGATCGAAGAGGGCTCTTACATGGTAAATTTTTGTTTTTGTATCTGCATGTTTCTTAAATTTTCTAAGTTGTTGAGAGTTGATATGAATGAGGAGCTTTGTTCTTCATTTTATTGCTAATCTGTCTAAACGATCATCAAATTGAAGGTTATTAATTGGTGCCTTACGTACTTTTGGTTTTTGTGCAGATGTGACAAGGGTTCTCTGTGAACTCGAGCTGACCATCAAGAAAGTTAAGGTATCCACCACGCCAGACGAGAAAGTGATGGACCTGTTTTTCATCACAGACACCAGGTTCTATTTTCTTGATATATTCTGCTAAACATAATATTGGGTATTTTCTGGTTTCCTGTTTTCTTTTTCCTTGTAATTTCTATGGGGTCGTTACGGCTGTAAACAATCCCAATTTGAATTTCAAGTCAATTGACTGCAAAACGATAGATGAGTACAAGCTTGATAGGCATATTTTGCACACACAAAATACAAAATGTTGAATGATTCAAACAGTCCAATGCTTTCAGCACTTGCAGATTGGAGCAGCACCATCTCATGTTGCTCTATTAGGAGACTGATTCTTCTTTATACGTGACTTAATCTCTGAATTTGTTTCTTTATCAGGGAACTTCTGCATACAGATAAGAGAAAGGAGGAGGTGTCTGACTACTTAAAAGCAGTCACGGGAGATGCCATGATAAGTTGTGAAATTGAAATGGTTGGTCCTGAGATTACTGCATGTTCGCAGGGGTCTTCATTTCTTCCATCTGCAATTACCGAAGACATATTTGATTTGGAAATGCCCGCTGAACTCCCAAGTGGATCACTCACCTCCAGAAGTGTTTCTGTGACTATGGACAACACTCTGAGTCCTGGTCACACGCTGGTCCAAATCATTTGCAAAGACCACAAGGGTCTTCTTTATGATATAATGAGAACGCTAAAGGATTACAATATTCAGGTAGATATATAAGTAATGTGACATTTGCATAAATAAATATTCTAAGAAAGCAAGAGTGGTCAGTGGATGTCATATACTCTATACATCATAGGAAAATGAGCTGTTTTCTTTTTCAAGAAAAATTGCTGATTTCATCATTCTTTCCGGAAGATTTAAAATGCATTCAAAAGATTTTTAGTTATAATTTCCTCTAGAATGCTTTTCCATTCTTGACATGGAAGCCCATTACAAAGAATAAGTTTCAGTCTTGCTTTGGGTTTTTTGAGGGTTAAGATTAGTTTATGTATCCATGTGGCTGAGTTGTTAGTTCTTGCGTTGTAGTAGCCAAGGGACATATTTGCTCATTGATTGTAGCATTTCATACTTGGTTGGCATGCATACATTTGGTAATGGAAAATTTTGATAAAACTTTAAGAGGGTTAACAGAATCTTCTGGGGTTACAATATCTAATTTTCTGATGATATCTGAATGCTATGATGAACCAGATCTCTTATGGGCGCTTCACTATAAAACAAAGAAGACACTGTGAGATTGACTTGTTCATCGTGCAAGCTGATGGAAAGAAGATTGTTGACCCTAGCAAGCAGAATGCATTGAGATCCCGCTTGCAGCTGGAACTGCTTCGTCCTCTCAGAGTAGCTATTGTTAACCGAGGTCCAGACACAGAGCTGCTGGTTGCAAACCCTGTGGAATTATCTGGCAAGGGCCGGCCTCTTGTTTTTTATGACATCACCCTTGCTTTCAAGATGCTGAACACTGGCGTCTTTTCGGTACTTCCTGATCTTCACTTTGTACTTCCAAACAGGCATATTTGGCTTTCCCTTGTATGATCCAAGGACATTAATATTTGAGACAAAATTATATGCTCTATTACAATTTGGTTTTCTTCATGTGTTACATGTATAAGCAAATGGAACTAAGGTTTATGGTTCTTACTAAACAGGCTTTCCTATCTTGAACCGTCTTAATGGAATTTATTGTCTTGATCAATTGTTTCTTTGTTTACCTTTCTCTATCTGGCTGAGTAACTTCTGCTCTCCTGATTGTTTTTTTTAGGCTAAGATTGGACGGCATCTGATTGGAGATAGGGAATGGGAAGTTTATAGAGTCTTGATTGATGAAGGGGATGGCTTGTCAGTTCCGAGGAACAAGATTGAAGAACAAGTTTGGAAGATGTTGATGGGTTGGGAGTGATAACAAATGCAAATGCCGTTCCTCTTGGATGCCTGCGTTGTTCTGTACAGCAGAATTCTTCCCATTACCACATCACTAAATGTAATTGACGGGATATATGCCGTTAACAGGCGAAGCAGGTTGCATATCCTATATTACAGCTTGTCCATACTAACTCTGTATAGTAAGAATGAGAAGAAATCAGTAGTGAGGAGATGGAAAAGGAGAGTGCAGCTCTCATGGCACTTGCACATTGTTGTAAAAAGGTAGATATGGTGCCATTTCTTTGATGTGCTATTATAGTTGAAGAAGTAAGTTCTTGTGATGGATGGATGTGGTTGGTCAGTTGGATCAAATTGTGCAGTTCAACATTTCCGGGCGGCTCTATCTTTATATTTTTGTTGTACATACCTCTGTAGGCTGAACGTCGAATTATAATAGAAATTAAAGAATAACCATTTGTCATTGCCAAAACTCTCTCTCTCTCTCTCTCTCTCTCTCTCTCTCTCTCAAGTTTTGATCAGATATTAAAAAGAAAAAAAGAAAAAAAAGATTCAAAGCAGATTCTTTTGATGCACCCCAAGTTGGATCAAGTTTGAGTGCCCAAGAATATTGTTCTTTATTTTTATTCAGAAGGGTTGAATGTGTTTTCTTGGCTGTCCTGTCTTCATCCTTTCTAATCAGAGCTGATTAGCCTCAGCATATAAAAAAAAATCAGCTTACATCAAATTCTAAGTCGATTTATTTTGTCGGCAGATTATATTCCATAACAGGAAACATATTCTCTACATGGTCTTTAAGTCAATCAAAGGTGAAGCCAACATGCCAAATAATCTGTACTGATTGAAAACGACTTTCAATCATCACACAGGTAATTTTGTTGTTGCTACAAATATCAACGGTCCAGAATCCAGATCATCATTGTTCTTTCTTAATAGGTTAATGCTGGTAACATTAGGTCTCTGTCATGAACTTTGAGATTGCCTTTTTTTTATTTATGATTTTTTACCTTTAGATGCTTTTTTTTAAGCTCCAATATTTCATGTTGCCCTATTACTTACTTGTCCCTTTCTAGGCTGATTTTAACCCCTTTTTACTCAAATATTTCACCATCAAATTTGGAACATCTTGGTCAGGACAGACAGGGTAGGGTTCCTAGTACCATTGGATCTTATAAGTTTTATTTTATGTATGTTGTCTTGTTGTGGCCATTATTATTGTGGTTGTTTCTTTCAATTTACTAGTATTTTTTTTTTCTCATGCTCTTTATCAAAAGGTAAAAAGTCTTTGCTGGTAAAGAAGGTGGCTCTAAGGTCACAAAGTTTCCCCAACTTTCACTGGTGCAGATAGGTTCAGCTAGAAAGATTGAAACACTAAGTGTGTACATATACACTATTTTCTGTATAATAAGCAAATAAAACAAAAGAACCCATGAAAAATCTATTCACTAGAAAATTTAAAAACAGCAAAAGAAATCCACACTGAAAAAGAACCCGTGAAGGGTAAAAGTAAGATATGTCACAAATACAGCAATTGCTGGGTCCTCTTTTAATCTTTGTTGCCTTCTGTTTTTCTGCTTCTACAGCTTCCAGTATATTCTGAATTTGTGCAAGATGCCTGCAACTACTCCCCAGAATAAGATCTCACCAAATATGACATATAGGAGGGTTCCTAGCCTCTCTGAGTGCCATACATTGATGAAAACATGTTCCTGGATCCAATGCACCTGTTAACAGTTTGGTTCCTTCACTATATTAGATTACATTTCCAGACAAATTGTATCAAAGCGGGAAAATTTAGTATGATTTTGATAAAGGGGATTGATTATACTTACAAGTGAATTGTCTGGAGATTTATAATACCATCCATTTACAAATGCTGCAAAGATGCCCTGAGCTGCCATCACAAACACTAGCATTGCATTCATTCCTATCCATTCTAGGAACAAAAACGGCGTCCGGTAGCCCCAAACATCAATCTGTTTATGTAGATGATAGTCATTAGTTGTCCCTAGATTAATCTTTAATTGAACTAGAAGCGATAGCTCGGATAGGTTTTAACTTGTTTACCAGTAAATAAAATCCAGAAAAAACCAGTCCAGCTGCACCAGCTGTGAAACAAACGTAGCTGAAGCTGTAGAGTTGCTTATTGATTGGAATAGCTGCAAGCAAGTTGACAAATTAAGAAGTTTAATTTTGGAACATAGATTGCTTCAAGATTTATTATCTGAGGCAGATGAAGATAGCCAAGAACTAGGCACAAAAAGGCCAAGGAAGATCACCATCTGTGAAATGTAGAATGATGGCCATGACAATCAAGATAAACCCCATTGAAACCCATTGTTTGAGCCTCTCAGAGTGACCCTGCATGCATGAGAATCCAACTTCACCATCCTAAATGAATTTCCAAATATAACTAAAAAGTGCACTGATCTGTGAGTTTAGAGAGATGGGTAACCTTGAAATGGATCAAAACGTGCCCATAATGGATGCCAATGGTGCCGCTAAGGATAGCTGAAATGGAACTGAGAAAGAAGAACAACCAAATAAATCCATGTCCCTAGCACATAGTGATTAAAGTTTTATCTTTGTTCCTTATAATTATGTAATTAACATACCTCAGCAAGCCCTCTGGTTCAAATGGACCTCTGCACCAACTTGGAGCTCCCTCTCGAAGAGGACCGTCACTCGGAGAACTAAGAGTGCAGGCCTACAAAATTGTCACAAAAATAACAACAAAAGCTTAACAATTATTCTTCCTCTCAGTTTTTTTTTTCCCGCTCATTAAAGGCATGACAATTGAAATATGAGTAAAGCTAATGTAATGCAGAGATGGGTACAAATAGTTTTTCTGATTATACAACTGCATCAAACATATATAGCTATTAAGAGCTAAAACCTTCAAGCGTCTCCAAACAGGTTGTGTGTAGAGATGGTTTATGCCCCAGACCTGTCGATCCACATATCCAACTGCATTGCAAGCAGGTCCTAGATGTCCTCTCATCCCACACTTAACCTGAAAAAAGCAGAAAACAAATTAAGGCATGGTGAAGTGAAAACTTCCTACATTTAGTCATTAAACAAACAAACATACATACCAAGTATTTTTTCGATCTATGATCGTTGTCTACCACGAAACTCCAATCTGGAACATATAATGAAAATGTTGTGATCATGTAGATGAGGAAAGCGACGAACCCTCCAAGCCTGCAGAATGGTATTTTAAATCGATACTAGATATCCACATTGAACAAAGTTACACAATTTCAAACTGGGATAAATTTGCTAAACTTTGCTTATGTGAGTGTGAAATTCAAGACCTTAGTCTGTTTACTTACCACTGCCATTTATATGCTGTGAAAATAGAGAGGTGGCCAGGCTCAAGGACAGTTGGTCTAAGCTTGGTGGTGAGTGTCTCTATTAGAGCAACAACAAAGTAAACCAATGCTATTCTCTGTTTACCATTTGCCAACACATACAAACCAATAGAAAGAAAAACAAAGTCAGGTGAGTTTCATAAATTTGAAAGAAAAAAAAAGGGGGTTTGGGGAAACACCTGGAGGATGCCAAACCATCGAATTTGTTTCATGTCAACTCCGTAAGCGAGATCATCTGGCGCATGGGAGTATCCTCCTGCACTTCATGGGAGAGTGAGAGTTCATACACCAGAGCCAAACAATATATATTTATAGGGAAGAAGATTTGAATTTGGCACATTAATTCTCCTTAGCTAAGCGAAGTCAATGTGTCATTGTTTAAGCAAAGTTTCTTGTCCTCTTGACGAGGAAAGCTACTTCCTTAACACATGACTATTACCTTGCAAAATGATTCCCCAAAACATAAGCTTCAATGTCCTTAAAATAATCTTCTTGATTGCATCATTGATCTTGGGAATTTTCTGCAAAACCAAAATTTTATCATAAAGTGATCAAATTGGCACACAAAGTTAGAAACCTACACTCCAGAATTTTGGTGAAAGATTATTGTCTTGTGGATTAACCCGATTAAGATGTCGTGCGTTACATAATATATCCAACATATAAAAACAATGAAACATTGAAAAGAGAAGTGTATATTAATGTATTAAACCTTGAGAGCAAGGGCTATGGCGACCCCCACAATGAAGAGGAAGAAGGGCATCACAAAGTCGGCCAATGTGCATCCGTTCCATGGTGAATGGTCAATACGTGCGTATGCTCCTCCAGCATCATCTACCAATATCATCACCTGCATGCACATATACACATGATCTCTTACTTGTCACAATATGCATGCATGCATGCATGTACAAATTAGCAAGATCAAAGCAATCATACACCATAAGAAAAGGCACTGTGTATAATATGTTATGTTGTCAGACTAAAAATGAAATGATTGGTCATGAATATGTACCACTATGGTGAGGCCTCTGAATGCATCCAAAGTAGCAACCCTCTTGCTTTTCTGCTTAACAACTAGTACTGGTTGCTCCTCCCCCTTGATTTGGTCCGCCTCCAGAGGCGCTGCCGCCACCGCTGCTTTGTTCTTCTCCTCATGATGATCCTCATGATCATGGTCAATGGCATCTCCACGACCATTGTGATCAGATGTTGTATTTACTTTCTCACTGATCAAATCATCCTTGTTATGAAGACGGCCTTCTTCCAACTTCTTAGCATCATCCTCCATAACTTTCCCTCTCTATGCACTAAAGTTGCTGGATAAGTTGGGGGGTGATAGTAATAGAAGTGAGAGGAAGGAAGAGCTAGCTAGCTAGGAATCTCAGCAAAGACAATTGTGTAAAGTACAAAAGGCCGGCTTTTAATGTTGGCTTTGACTGGAGCAACTGGGCCATGCATATATATTGAAACTCAAGTATATAGAATGAGAAAATTTTGTACATATATATATGTAGGTGATAATTATATAAGAATATATGATGAGTCGGACAAATCTACGAACTTTGGCAAGAGAAGACAGAAATGTGGTCTGGATCCCATGGTGGGTGGCAGTAACTGCCATAACATCATTCTTTAAAACGGATGGTTTAGTGACATGTATGTGCAAGAGGGTACGTACGTATATGTATAGTGTTTGTGCAACCACTGTTTTGTTTGTTCATGAACTGCATCTTTGGATGTATTAACACATTGCTACGTGCGTTTCGTTGAATGTATATCAATCGTAATTAGTTGTATGAATATTTTCTTATCAAACTATGAATCTAAAAGATTAGATGCTTGACGAGATTGATTTTTGTCCAAACGCATGATTCGGATTCATTTTCTGAGTTTGTCAGGTACCACTTGTCTTGACAATAGAAGATTACTTCATGATAAATGTTGAATGTATATAATATACTTGAGCTTGGGGCGGATTGTTTCACCTTAATTTGCTGTAAATGCGCTAAGGCAAACCAAGAAAGAGTCTAATTAACAATTGGACGGCCTATTGGTAATGCTTTTTAAAAGAAAACACACACAGACACACACACACATATATATATATATATGTATTAAGGTGACCTATCCTTTGACTAATCGTTTGGGCCTTTCCTGTGTCAGTCTTCAAAATATAAAAAAAATGAAGAAAAAAATCCAACAAACAAGAAAAGCTAGTATTCTACATATCATGGCTATCATGTGATCCAATATAATACTACGCACCTAGGTTTCTAGGCCGTCCAATTGTCAGACTGTTACTTGGATAGCTTGAGCACGTATGGAAAAGTTATTGCCGGCCACATTACATATATTTTAAATAAACTTTGTTTTATTTATTTTATTAAAATTTGTCGTCTATCCTCTCCCAACAAAGTAGAGACTGAATGTTACTAGACGAAGAACTAATTGGCATGCATAATCTCCGTCCGCCGTGAAGTTGTGAAACTTATACCTTTGTTATGCATATTTCATTAAAAACGATTATGAGCATAAGTACTTTTTTATATTAAAAGCTCTAGATTGAGCTCTACCTTTCTCGACCCAGCCCGCACTTGCCCCTTGGGCCTTTTGAAAATATTATTCTATTTTTGCTTGGGCTATAAGGCTTGAAACTTCCAACCCAGCTGGCCCTTGCCACATGGGCTTTGTGAATCAGATAAGACATAAATCCCCACTAATGGGTACGTGTAGTTGACTAGGCAAGTTATCGACCTTCCTCCAATAATTCACATGTGATGGTATCTTTTTTTTCTTTTTCTGGGTCGGAATTGTGATGGTATCTTTGAATACACAAAACCAATTATTCATTGTGTGGTCCAACGTGATTGTAGTGTCAAATTCTACGAATGCAATTCAAATCCCATTTGGAATTTGATCACAAAACAACCACGCAGCTTTCCTTGTCCATTTGAATACATGCATGGATTGACTCGGACTGTGTTTGATTCGTGTTATTTTGGGGTTTTCTCCTACTGGTCTAGTACTAATCAACCCTAATTTTGAAGTTTAATAATATGCGTCTTATACCTAAACTAATTGAAACTAACAGAAGAAAATAATAATAATAATAATAATAATAAAAGTTCATCAGTTTAATAATTAAAGATTCACATGATACACGTTTAATAAATTTGTCACATTAAAATCAAAAGTTTTATATTAAGCAATTGTTAATCCGAATCCACTTTCGTGTTTTGATTCGTATCATAAAAATTATACAAATTTATAAATAAACCCAATCCTAGACATGTATTTATAAAAAAAAACCCAAACACTATTTAAACATAGAAACACACCCAAAATCAACCCCAAAGTCAACAATTGTATATTTTTTGGATGTGTTTATAAATGAGTTTTGAGTGTGTGTAATGATGGGTTTTAGGTGTGTTTATAAAGTGTTTTGGGTGTTGGGTTTTTTTTATAATTTCAGCTCCCATTTTGGGTGTTTTAGTGAAACCCCCAATTATAAGATACTGTGTAACAAAATCATCAACCCACTCAAATAATATCTCATTTCCCTTATCCAAAGCCGGTAACAGACAAGCTTTGGAACATAAGATAGAGCCAAATCATATGCCATATTGCCATGGTTATCTTGTCATTTTCTCGAAGGACGGGCTTCCATTTTACACTAGAAGTCTTTGCTCTTTAAATGTATGATGCAGTTAGTGAGGTCCAGCTTAGAGCATCGCCAGCGCCATACCCAAACTGGGAGAAAGGCTGCCCTGGCGAGCCCAAGACACCTCTAGCGCAGTAGATGCAGCCTGGTTTCATGGTGGGTTCCACCAGCCCGGGCAGGCCCAAGGGCAAATTCAGCCCGAGCTGCTGCCAGGGCAAGCTGATGCAATGCTGACGTCATAATGACGTCAGCAACCCAAAAAATAAAAATAAAAATAAATAAATAACCAAAAAATTCAGAATTTTTTTAAATAAATACCTAGACATATTCTTTACTTCCCACACAAAAAACTATATACAAATTCATCTCCTCATATCTCATATGAATAGTATTTGCCTTAGACTTGTCCTAGACTTAGCTCTCATGGGTGGAACCACAAATGCAAAGGCTGACACTATTCACGTGAATAGTGACAGCCTTTGCTTGCCCTTGCCTTAGACTTAGTCCTTGTGGGTGGAGGTGCTCTTAGGCAAAGCCAAGTGCTTCCTTCGCCATCAGAAAATTCAGGAGGGTCCATAAATTTGCGCTTTCTTTCTTTTTGGTTTTGGTCAGTTCATGCGCACAATGAGCTTTCAGTATGTGAGGTGAATGTGTTTCTAAGGCAAAATTCTGGACCACAAGTGATAAATACATTATTCATGCACTTGGAAACTGATTTGGGGAATGGCGGATCTATTGGTTAGCTTTCATTTCACTCTCCAACTGGTTCTGAAAGGCCCTTGCTTGAGCTGATTCTGACCTTTGCTTTTAGACTTCCACAAAGTGCATCATCAAATTGAGATGAAAGGGTCAGGTCCAAACCATCTAGAAGCAATATACATAATGAGGAGGATAAATAAGTAAATATGTTTTGTTGTCAGTCGTTGATACATTGTAAGATTCACCTATAATCACGTCGTCAACTGTCCTAGTATTACTCTACCGACATGTCACTCTTCCAAGATGCTAAATTAATTTGTTCTGAAGATTTTTTGGGGGCCTGGATCTGGAGTTGGGAATCTGGAAGAGAACAGGACAAAGCAAGGTAAGTTTGTCTAATATTGAATTCTGACTGACGGTGAAAAGAATATATTCACCTCTCATTTTCCTTGCTCGTGCTATAACAGTTCTAATCATATGATTCTGTTCACAATGGGTGTGATGTAACTACCAAAACTCCTAAATCAGTCATCAAATTCGTATGTTCTTTAATTGGATCAACTAATAAAATAATCATGCACATCAAATTTGTGTATGTATTTGGTTCGTTTGTGCAAGAAGTGCTTTTTCTAACAGCACACATGTCACAAAGATGGACAGGTTGAACCCAAAGTCTCCACCTTATCTTTTACTCTTCACAGAAAGCCTTTCATCCATTCTTAGTGGCAGGTCAACTATCCAGTCAATGTGAAACTCCTTATTCATTTCCCACCTCACTTTCAGCCATATCTCTTTTGTTCATGTATATATGTGTGTGTGTGTGTGTGTACAAATGGTACCAAGTAACCACTAATTAAAGACCCCAACTGTGTTGGAAATTCTTTTGTTTTGAAGAAGAAGAAGAGAAAAAAAAATGGTGGTGGCTGAGTTCGGTTTTGGTGGTGGTGGTTTAGGCCACAAGGAGATGAGGAGCTTTGGCTTGCAAGTTGTCCATGGAAGATGGTTCATGGTTTTTGCTTCAATGTTGATCTTGTCAGTGGCTGGAGCAACATACATGTTTGGCCTCTACTCCAATGACATCAAAACATCTCTAGGCTATGACCAAACAACAGTCAATTTGCTGAGCTTCTTCAAGGACTTGGGGGGCAATGTTGGGGTCATAGCCGGCCTCATCAACGAGTTCACAGCTCCGTGGGTGGTCCTGTTAATCGGTGCAGTCATGAACTTTTTCGGGTACTTCATGATATGGCTTGCAGTGACTGGTCGAACGTCGAAGCCCCGGGTGTGGCAGATGTGTTTGTACATTTGCATAGGTGCAAATTCTCAGACATTTTCAAACACTGGTGCTGTAGTGAGTTGTGTTAAGAATTTCCCGGAGAGTAGAGGCAGTGTTTTGGGGCTCTTGAAGGGACTTGTTGGCCTAAGTGGTGCAATTATTACACAGCTCTTCTCTGCTTTCTATGGTGGCGACTCAAAGGCTCTTATCTTGTTAATTGGTTGGCTTCCAGCTGCTGTTTCAATGTTGTTTCTTCCAATAATCCGATTGTTGAAGGTTGTTCGACAACCGAATGAGCTCAGGGTCTTCTACAATCTTCTCTACGTTACTCTTGGCCTAGCTGGGTTTCTCATGTTTTTAATTATCATACAACACAACCTGAGATTTTCAAGAATTGGGTACATTGGAAGTGCTTCAGTTGTGCTTGTGTTACTCTTTCTTCCGCTCGCCGTTGTTATTTTCGAAGAATTCAAAATCTGGAAGAGCAAAATGAGAGCATTGAATGATCAATCTCAGCTCAAAGTAGTAGCTGAGAATCCAGCTCCTCCTGTTCAAGTAGCCCTGCCGTCTGTTGCAGCACCACCATCTCCACAAACCCAGCAGAAGCCAAATTCTTGCTTGCAAAATGTTTTCAGCCCACCAGATAGAGGTG